TCGCTAGTAGGTTGGAGGCCATCGCTAGTAGGTTGGAGGCCATCGCTGTTATGTTGTTTTGCATCTTTAAGCCTTTAAGCCTCCGGACGGCGGAACGTCGGTGGAAAAGGCGTCCACTTCACAGCTGACTGTTTCAGACCAGCTGTGGCTGCCTCAGTCACAGGGCCACGGCACCGTTGGGTCTCAGTGCTTCGGTACTTCGGCACGGCACCGTTAGTGCTTCCGCGCAGCCATGAAGCGGAACAAAGCCTGGGCGCGACATGCGGCAACATGGATGAATATCCATAAACCCGATTCTCCGGGTACGGCACAATGAGTTTGCAGGAAATTGGTGAGGGAGGCTTTCAATCCGTTGCTTATGTTGTTCATTGCTCAAGTTCCGCCCCAGCAATGGCGTTTCATCGATCATGTTCCTCCCACTGTCACCGAGGTCCGGGAAGCAGTTCCCAAGGTCCGGGCCCGCTGGGATCAATGTCTATCGAGCGAAGCCCACGGCAGCGGCGAATGGCAAGCGCAAGTACCAGAAACCATGCGCAAACTAGGTCCTATAGGTGCTGCTGGTTTGCCAAAAGCCAAGCGCGCAAAACTTTGCACATGTCCTTTTGGCTAACTTGCGCGCATTGGTGTTTGGAGCTGCACAGTCTCACTTTCGGAATCAGTTTTCATCTCAGTGCTTGTGTCAGTGGGCAGGTCAGAGGACTACACTTTTGGGTGTAGAAGTGACACGAATAGGTCACCAAAAGTCAAGATCAATATCAATACCAATCAATATCAATCAGGTGTTGTAGAAGTGAAACCACGGCAGTTCCTCGAATTCTTCAACATTGGCACTGTGCCTCACGGCTCGCTCAGCCTTAGCTCAGCGTCCAGTGTGTCCCAAACGCCTCGGACGAGACGGGAGACGAGTCGTTCGACCACGGCGGGGGAAAGCGTATCATTCGAAATCTACACCGGTTTTTCATGTTTTTTTGCCTAAAATGAACTACATTCTTATAAAAAACTTTCATATGGTAAGGCCAGAATCCTTGATTTAAAAAAAAAAAGAGTCAAAAAAAAGTCAACTGGAAAAGTCAAAGTCAAAAAAAATCAAATTGAAAAGTCAAAAAAAGGTACAAAAAGAAGTCAAAAAAAAAGTTCAAAAAAATAAAAAGAAACAAACATGTCCAGTCAAGCGACTCAGGAGCAAAAGAAAGCCGGCATATATATATATATATGGAAAACACAGGCAAAAAGGACAACAACATTGAACTAAACTAGTAACAAGCTCATAAGTCAGCCAAGGCAAATTGCAGCCTTTTTGCTTATGGCTTACTGGCTTTCAGTCTATTACAAATTCTAGAACCTTTTTTTGTTTGTTCAACTTTCACTTCTTCCAGCCCCAAGCCAGCCCCAACCCCCTACCCCAGAGTCGCAGGACCCCTACCCAGCCCCAGCCACTGTCCCAGGGTCTCTTCAGCCCCAAGCCAGCCCTGTCCTGGTGGCCCTGGTAGCCACCCACATTCCCAAGTACCCAGCCCTGTCCGGCCCCAGAGTCGCGAGCAGAAAATTGACTGTTTTTCGACTCTTTTTTGACTTTTTGTTGCCTCCAGTAATCCGCCAAGGCTAGGATCCGCACATTTGGCGTTTTTTTGACTTGTTTTTGACTTTTTTTGACTTTTCCAATTGACTTTTTTTTGCCGGCCCAGCCCCGCATGCCCCAGCCCGCCTGTAGCCTGCCTGAGCTCGACCTCAACCTGACCCCTCCGCCAGGAGCCAGCCGCAGCCAGCCCAAAGCCTGGCCCTGGCAGCAACCTGCCCCAAAATTTGAGCAGCAGCTGGCTTGGGGCTGAAGAGACCCTGGGACAGTGGCTGGGGCTGGGTAGGGATCCTGCGACTCTGGGGTAGGGGGCTGGGGCTGGCTTGGGGCTGGAAAAGGTGAAAGTTGAACAACCAAAAAGGTTCTAGAATTTTTAATAGACTGAAAGCCATAAACCATAAGCAAAAAGGCTGCAATTTGCCTTGTTACAACCTTTTCCTTGACTTGTTTACCTATGCAAAGTTTTTGTTTGACTTTTTTTGTGACTTTTTGTTGACTGTTGACTTTTTTTGACTTTTTTTTTCTTTTCAATTTGACGTTTTTTTGACTTTGACTTTTGGGATTGACTTTTTTTTGACTTGTTGTTTGACGTTTTCTTAAATTTTGAAAACAGGTTCTTTCCAATGAAAGTTTTTTATAACTACATTCACCACTTTTGCAGTGTTTTCTGGGTCATACAATATCCTACGATTACACAAATCTATTGACCAGCTCTGGGAGGGTCTGGTAGCCCTGGTACCCGTTTTTGAGCCGTCCGGTGTGTTGAGGATGTGTTGAGCTGTTTGGTACCAATGTGGCTGTGGGTCATGCCACCAGGAGACCTTGCTTGACCTCTCTGGAAGGTGAACCTAGCCTGGGTTGGGGCTCCGGTTTTTGAGCCACGTAACAAGTTCAAGATGCAAACCTTGGTGGTTGTTGGAACCGTTCCGACCTCGTTTCCTGTGACCATTGGTTCATCTGACCCGGCAGGAAATCGCCTGCTTCGCAGAAGTCGAAGTGGGAAACGCTGTGGCGAAGCCCATTGAAATCGGGGACTTAGTCAACAAAGCAACTTCGCAGCTATCATGCACAGCTTTGCACAGCATTCCAAGAAGTTGCAAATTTTATGTAACATCTGACTTAAAACATATGTGCTGAACTTCGGCTATGGACATCCGGCGCTGGCTGCATGGCGGCCCAAGACCTACAAAACAAAACAATGGCTGGCATGCTCACAACGCCATAGCAACGTCAACCTCCAAATCTATCCACAGGCAACATGTCCATCACACATCATCACACCATCCCACTGGTGCTGGGAGTTCATGCTGGGCGTTCTCCGCTGTGACAGTGCTGCACTTTCCTCCGCTGTTCGTGCCCTGGTCGTCTTCTGGGCGCCCCACGTTTGACTCATGTCCGGCTGCGTCACCGGGGGCGCAAGCTCCCGAGTTCGAAAGGAGGTGAGCCATCCACCATCCAACCAGCTGCTCGAGTCAGTTGTAGGGTGCAGCTGTGGCTGTGTCGGCTGTTGCAAAGTCCCCAGAACTGTGGGTGGTTGCTCCAGCAGGATCGTTTGCAGCTGAGGTTGTGTGGCCGGTGCGAAGAAATCAGTCTCAGGAGCAATCTCGATCTGGCCCAAGGCTTCAGTGCCTCTCCTGTCCGGACGTGGCCAATACCAATCAATGCGTCAAAACGAAACAAAAACGACTCCAAACGTAAATATCAAAACATTAAAATATATACCCTTCACTCAATTTGTTGTTTACTCTTGCCATCTCTTGCCATATATTCGATGCGGGGACATAGCTATGGGCCTATGCAAAAACAGGCAGGGTAGTTATTATACCAGTACAAGGCTGGACAAACCTTTAAACAAACTCTGCACACCACACGCCTTGCTGAATCAAGTTCATGGTGCGGGAGTCCAGCCTGTGGTCAACCAGAAGTGTTGTTCACATGCTTGAATCACTTGCTATGAGCTGCTATATTGAATATTGATGGAGATATCTAGCATCCTCTGTACAATGTATCATCCAACCTGTCTATATACAAATATCAACTTATTAAACACCCTGTTGCCCAACCCTGCGGTCAACTGCTCACAGCGCCAGCACCTCTTCCCCTTGACGGACAGCGGCCAACAGCGCATAAGGATTCCTGAGTAGAGTGCGGTCCTCGTTGTTCGTCCTGCATTATGTTCTCTGATCATCAGTGCTCAATGTATTCTACTTGCTCCATTTCTACAGGCGCAACGACACAAATGCAGATGTGAAGTCAACCGCACATGCGGAGCGCACATCGGCAGACCATGAGATTTGAGTCAACATAAGTCAACCCATCTGTGTACAAACATGTACAAACTGTTTGATGCGACTGAGTTCTGCTCCCACTGGTCTTTGCGAGGTGAAGTTCCTGCCGGAGCTGAAACGGCACCAGAAACAGACCCAGCTTCCGGGTACCAGGCCAGCGCATGTGCGTCACGCCTGCCGCGCATGTAGCCGAGCATTCAGGGCATCTAAGTGCCTTGGCCCAGGGGCTGAACATTGACCAGAGACTAGAATGACTCGAAATCTCACCGAGGAGTTGGAACATGACGGTTGAACTGATCACCAAACTTCGTGAAACATGGCCTCTGACTGGTGAGGGGACTTGAGCTCAGCTGAGAAACGGAACACCTTCGATTCCACGGGATCTGTCGGATCGGTCGGCTGACCGTCCGAAAGCTGAGACGGGTCCCGTGAGGATCGGAAGAAGGCTCCTTGAGGTGCCCAACCTCTTGGCTGGAAGAAGGTCTGCCATCGCCAAACCTGGATGGGAGACGGATGGCTATGACAAGACCCTTACTCATTACAAGCAAGTGAGTTTATGGCATGGCTCAGATGGATGGCTCCAGGATTTCCAGGGCGTTGGATGGCTCACAAACCCGCTGCTCTAACCACATGTCATTTGGGCTGGATGCTGGACGAGTTCGGCGTGGCAGATGTCCTGGGCGCCTACCCTGTTTGCATATCATCGCAAGTACAAGCGGAGAGTTATCTACTGAATGATTCTGAATGTGTCAAACTGGGAATACGAACTGAGTCAATCTGAACACTGGATCCTTCACTAAATCGATTGCTCCTACGGAAACACGTGCCATGATCAAACACGTAGGGGATGGTCAATGATGTCGCCTGAGCGCTTGGGGGTTGGTTACAAGTTCCATCCCCTAGACAACCCACGACCCAACTGGTTGTGGGCCGTGGGCCGTGGCAGATCTTAGAGCCTCCAAGCTCAGCCTGCTTGATGGCAGCCTGGCATTTCATTTGGGAACATGTTCCCCTGGCCGAGAAGGGCGGGGGAGATAGGTTCATTAAAATTGCACAACCTGCACTTAGAGTCGGCTCTGCCGCCCCACCAACTAGTAACTAGTACATTCGAGAAGAACCACTCAACTGGTTGGGATGAACATGCTGGGCCAGGCCGATGTTGGTGCAAAAAGAGTTGCTCTCTGTAACACTGCAGAGTCGGCTTTGCCACCGCAAGGGCCACGGCAATAAGGGGTCACCTGTCGTCTCTGTAAAAGTCTTCTCCAACATTTGCAACCCGGAAGAGTGGGAGTCAGGATGTACCCCTTGCTGGTGGTTCCTGTGAAAACAAGGAAACAGCGTTGGGATGAGAAGTCTTCTTGTCTGCAGCATCCTGGTCGCACCACCATCGCCTGCAGCCGGACAGCATCATTGCTGGCCGCAGCACTGTCCAGCTGCTGCCTGGGGCGGTGTGCATCAGTAAAGTCGTGATCTGCCGTGATCTGCCGTGCTGCAACTAGGGGGAGATGAATTAGATATTTAATGGATTCCCATAGAGTGTTTGGGAAACAGTTTTCTATGTTTTGCCCAGAGAGTCAGACTTGTCCCAACAGGCAGAAATGTGACAAAGCTCCAACTGCGGCTGTAAAGAACTACAGCATCAACAGCTCTCGCGTTGAACATTGGCAACACATTATATCGTTTACACCAATGCAAACATGCCTAGCTGTATCGAACATTGTGTGGTGGTTTGGCTGGGTGAACTGTTTCTAGTCACAAGAAGGTGTAGTGAGTTTGGTGTAAGGCAAGTTGAGTCGCATTACACAATGATGTTTCACAAATGCGATATAACTTATAACTATATAATATCATAGTGCAAAATATTGTGCCAAATTACACTAACAGTCTACGCTGTGGCCAAAAAAATGCTGTGCATGACAGGAAAGTACAAGAAGTGTGAAGTCTTGCAACATGGTGTCTCACAGAACGCATGCAGAAGGTGTAGCATGACATGTTTGGTATGAAGAAAAAGTACCCCTTCAGCTATTCTGTGGAGCGTCTAGGCAAAAACAAAAGCTGCACGGTTTTTAGAGTTGGTAGGAGCCGCTCAAACGGCTGAGCCATAGTGTTTCTATGGTCAGGTCTTCAAGGCTGCATCATGCTTATCATTGCCTATCCATCCATGTTCATCTTCCTCCACTTGCGGAGTACCTGGGGCAGTCCGTCCCTCCGTCCCGTCCAACCTCAGCCACGAATGAGATTCCAGCTCCCGAAGTCGATGCCAGGCAGAGTCCACCTCGCCGGCGGAAAACGCCGGCTAAGCCGGTCCGTTCCTCGCAGCCACTCCGGTCCAACCACCCCATACGGTACGTTTCGATGTGCACATGGAGATACATTGCATGTTACATGGAGTGTCGGGGTGTACTTATATATATATATATTGTGTTTACTAACCAGTGTGTAATGTATTATGTATATTTATATATATATATATGTAGTTTTTCTTCTATGTATGCAAGTATCAACGCAGTGGCTTCCCAAATCCACCATCAACCCTCATGAACCACGACTTCGATCTCCACCAACCCTTTGGGCTGTCTTTTCTCTTTCCCGCCTCGCCACCGTTCATCCCGGCATCCTCAGTCGGCGCGCTCGGATGTTCGAACGGGTGAGGAACAGGTAGAGCGGCTTAAGAGCTTCTGAATCTCAATCTGTCGGAATTCATCCATGCAGGATTGTCCATATAGTTGATGTAACGCACTTGCGAGGTTACCTCTCTGGCCTTGTTTTGCTCAAAGGTACATGCATGTGCATATATATATATATATATATTATATATATGTATAGCTGCTTCAAACAAGTAAACACTCATAAACACTCAATATATAACAGGCTGAGCACCCCTTCTGTCGCAGCTCGTGCTGCTGCTCTGAGGCGGACTGTGTCGCCAGTCTTCAGTGCCTCTCACCACTCCCGATGCATCGAGACACCAAAGCTCCACCGTTATCGTTTTTGCTTAATTAGGCAATGAGTGCTTTCGTTTGGAATGAATGGTTTGGAATGGTTTTGCTTAACTTAGCGTTTGCAATGAGTCTGCCTCTGCCAAGATAGCAGATGGCAGATAGCACTATCGTTCTCTCACTATTCTTTCTTTTTTAGGGGGTACGGTATGTGGATGACGTGATCCTCTTCTTGTTGCGAAGATCATGTAGAAACAGGATGAAAAACATCAAAGACCGCTTCCACCAAGCCATCCAACTCCCAAAGGGATGAATGGAGTGTTCTGCTCCAATTGGCTGCACAAATAGGCATGGATAGGAACAACCTGGTACCCTCCATACCTTCCAGGATCCACACCCCGCAGACTGAAGCACCTATATGAACACTATCTTGTATTAATATATAATCAAAGTCATTCTAGCCCTATAAGTGGCCAAGATGAGTCAAAATGGATCAGTTCAACTAAAATGAGTCTGACATTTGGTGCCCCCTGGTTGGCATCTCCCCTATTAAACGGTCCAGTGTCTCGGTCTACCGCTTGATCGCCGCATCTTCGTGCCTCTGAGAGTTCGCGGCCCACGGAGGACTGGCCAAGCTTGTGGAGCAGCTTCTGAGCTTTCGCCACCTCGACGGCTGTGAGTCCAAACTCCAAAGTCCAGGTACCTGGGTTGACCCTAGAAGATGAACAGAATGGGGTATACCAGGGATGTCAACCTAAGAGGGTGAGTTCCGGGCTCCACTCTTTTGACCCACCACCAGGTTCCGGGCTCGGTCCCGGGTTCACGAGGGCTCGAGCGGGACAAAAGCGGTGGGACCGAGGTTTCTGGCGCCGAAAGCATGTGGAGCACACGGTAATGTAGACTCTTGAGGACCATTGATAACCCCTCCCGCCTTTCAAGAGGCTTTTTTACAAACTTAATTGGGGTAGTAATTGGGGTATAATATGGTATAATGTGGTGGTGTATGAATCAAGAGTCAATCAAGAGTCGACTCATTAGCATGATTCCGGAACATCTTTGCCAGCTTTCGAACAGGAAATGGCCCTATCAGATGGGATAGCGTCACATCATCGCTGCAAATGTTTTGAGGCATATCATCTCCAAGTCCGTCCAATTCCCGTGGGCAAGCTGGGGAGTCACCGGTGCCGCGTCCACCGCGAAACAGCCTCCTGACGATTGAGACCTGATTTCTTCCCCTCTTCAATGCAATGCCTGGCAACAGCAAGCACATGCGACGGCTCGGCACATGCTGAAGAACAAGTCCAGCAAGCTAGTTTCTGGTAACTCAAATAGATTGAGTCCATCGAGTGGTGGAATGATTTTGTGGACGATCGGTCCTGATCCATTCTGGAGTAACCCGCCTCATCATCGAAAACAAATCAGAAGTAAGCTGTTCTCTACGGAGAACCCTTCGCCGGAGCTTTCCAGAAACCAAAGCCCATCCAAGGACGGTCCGTCCATGTCTTTCCCGGTCACCGCACCTCAGCAGATCGGCATCCTTCGCGGTCACCGCTGCCTGCAGGACCGGAGCCGCGGCGACGTTGCGACGACGTTTTTCCCTGGGAAGATGCATCTGTTTCATCCCAGTCGTTTGAAGTCACCCTGATCCGTTCGAAGTCGATTGATGCGGAGGAAGCGAGTCTTCAACCGTTCGTTCAACACGTTCAGGCCTCGATGCTTCTGCGAACATCTGCCTTCAGATTCGCGAGAGCGGCATCATATCATGCAAAATACTCTAGTGTTGTTGTTGCCATCTGATCTCGGTGATGCCATCTGATCTCGGTGATGTTCATTGAGGGTATTTGGAAGATGTTGAAACCCACCCTGGCATACCCACTGCGAAACAAATAAGGGCGTTCTGGTTGAGCCAATCCCCATGCCTTTTCAACACACTGCTCGACTGCCCAGCGGCCTGTAATTCCAGGCAGCGAAGCGCTTCTTTCCCACCTGGTCAGCATGTTAGCACGAAAGGATTGCCAGAGGTGATATTTCAACAACACCATGTCACGTCTGTCAAACGAAATGTGTCAATTAATATTGTGTAAATTTGGATCTATGGTGCCACCCAAACTCATTGGCAACAGGACCCAACATCTGTGGATTCTTTGTGGTCGTTGGTTTCAAGTCATCATGAAAGCCAGCTCAGTCTCAGTCTCAATTTCCCGCACGACCACCGGACATCAATACCATCGCAAGCCAGTAAAATGAAACAAAAAAAACAATTACACCTGCATAGACCCCAGAATACCCCAGATATTTATGGTTATTATTTGAAGTAAAAGAAACCATAGCTGTCGCTCTCTGGGAAAAAACAAAACGAAACAAAACCATCCAAAACCGGTGCCTTTACCCTGACCGAGAAAGGGACCCGCCGGGAAGGTTCCACCGCTCTCTTCGATCCGGACCGAGACGAAGGCGTCCCTGACGACCAGGTCGAGCATGTTCGGTCGTGGTGAAGGCACATGGAAAGGACATGAAAGGACTGGTTTCACTTGGTCCGCACTGCGCACGCAATGTCCTGGAACTGGGTGAACCCTTCAACAGTTAAATGGACCATCAGGGGATGTCAAGCTGGACGCCAGAATCACAAAGTTGTTGCAAGATTCCATGGCGCAGCAACAAGATTCCATGGCTGGCCCATCCACCCAACACATCTCCGCCTGCGATTTCTGCCTCCGAAACCTCTGCTCTTTTGGCAGCGGTGATCGCTGCACGAAGCCTGGTCGAGACGTCGAGACGAGCCTGGGATAGGGGCTCCACCTGCGAATGGAGGCCCAGCGCACTGTCGGAGATGGTGTATGATGGTGTTGTTTCAGGGTACCTGACTTTACATCATATGGACTCCCTATAAAATGAGTGCGTGCATATACAAATTACATCAACTACGGAGGGTACTTCATTGACTCACTACTTGCAACAACGGCAGCAATCAGCTTGGCCTTTCGGCACCTTTTGTAACAAAGCTTGCATGCAAAACTGCTTGCTCGCAGTCTATGACTGAAGGGGTCGGTCGAATTGAAGTGAAGTCGCTATACATTCGCACAATCCATCTTTTGTTTGAACCGCCATTTGCAGTCGAAAGATGTCAACTAGTCGATTCATGCGGATCCGCCTTTTTTCAGGCGCTAATTGAGCAATTGACTGACTCCATCCATGCGGACATGCATCAAGCATGTGAGCGCAAGCGATGGGTCACCGACTCGTGTCGCCATGCAGTAGCCCATCAGGACTTGAAACGACCAAGAAAAGTTCCACCTCAGTTTGCTCTGCACCCACTCAATGCTCTCAATGTGGCCCAAAATCACTCCAACGGTGTGGGGGACGGTAGAGTTGGTCCCGAAGCTCAAGCTACCCCGCTCAAGGTAGTTAGCAACTTACTCAGGTTACCTTTCGTGACTTACGGACCAAGGAGGACTCGAACCTCCATCAAAATGCCAGCATCTGCATTGGAGGCAGAGTCGCAACGCCTTACCTATTCGATCCATGGAGGTGAGGGGCACCCCTCCTTTCACATCCGGATCCACGAGCCACACCACCCCGTCTTGTGACTAAAACGGCGAAACCTCAGACTTCGGCCCCATGGTCCCGATCCGAAGTCGTTTCGCGGCACGATTGATCCTTGACCGGCCGCCCACGCAAGGGGCCCGGGCCTTGAAATGGTGGTCAGCGAATGTTGCTTCGATTGGACTCACGATTTTCCAGGGTGACGGGCATCCTCAAGGCTTCCAGACCCTCCGTGGATGGAAGATATGCCAACATTTTTGCGGGTCCACCACTCCAAGGTAGGCAAATATAGCAGTGGCTCAGGGGCTTTCGGGTAAAGACCCCATCTCAAACGTCGAGCTTTTTCAGGAAAACCATCACCGCATTTCACCCCCTGAAAACGAGGTGTGCAAACTGGACCACCCAAAAATGAGTTGATTCACCAACAACGTAGGCCACTCGTTTTATTCACGATGGAGGCCTCACCGGTCGTCATTTAAAGCAAAAGGATGCATCTTTGGGCCATCTAAGTCGCACTGGTAGAATGACATTGAGGCATTCTGAAAAGCAACCTCGGTTCCGGCCAAGCTGCTGCGGTCGTGGGGCTGCACAAGTGGGACTGGTGACAGAAGAGCTTCAGAATTCTTCAGACATCTATGATTCAATGACCCACTCAAACAAATATTACAAACATGTGTTCAAACAGTGTGCATGTTCTTTCTCGTCGTATATCGTCGTAACATGTCATAACACTGACCACCTCCTTGACGATTCAAAGCTAAGTCGCTGACCGTGCAGCTCGGGCCTGTAGGCTTTATGGATCGGGAACCAAAAGAACCCCCAAAAAAGTGGACAGTGCCGCCCGCTGACCACAAACTGAGTATAAATTTTAGTCTTATAATCTTATAAACCAATATCATCCAATATCCAACCAACTGGGAAAGAGAACTCATAAGAATTCTGTCCTTTGAATTCCTTTGAGGGTTCCATTGTGGGCTTCATCACTGAGGCGCCGGCATCATCCAACACCGGCCACTTCGTCCATGGACCCTCTTAGGCGCCTCTGGGTGCCTCGGTGAAAATCGAAGGTCCATGTCCACGGCTGCCCGGCAGCCAGGCTTCTGGACAAAGACAAGGCTTCCTTAGACAAATCAGTGGCTTCAGCGGCTTCTGCGGCTTCAGCTTCATCTGCGGTGCTGTCTTCACCCTCCACTGCTTCGCTATCGTCAGCGTCCGCTCCTTTCGACGAATGAGCTGCTTCGGAGTCATCTGCAACTTCGCTGTCATCACTTTCGAGTGTGACATCACTATCTTCACTGGAGTGGATGGTCTGAGCATTAAAAATAGTGGTCGAAGTTGCCTGGCTCTCATTCCAGCTAGCCTCCTGATCACTGCTAATGCTAATATTCTCAATCCACTCAATGGTCACGTGTGTTTCCACCGAGGTGGTTCTTGTAGAAGAAAAGGTCTGAGACGAGGTGGTGGAGCTAAGTGTGTGGGAAGTGGTCAGAGTGGTGGTCCTGGTAGAGCTAGTAAGAGAGGACGTGCTGGTTCCAGTTGAGGAGCTAGTACCACTACTGGTGCTTGTGGTGCTTGTGCCGGTAATTGTAGTGAATGTGCTGCTGTAAGTGTAGCTGTAGCTTGTGGTCGACGTCGTCATTGTCGATGTCTGTGAGGTTGTAAAGGTCTTTGTTCCAGGCAAAGTTGTTCCGAGCACCACCTGCGAAAGAGGAACGTGAAGCGTGGAGGAACTCAAGTGGCATGGAATGGTCGCAGCAGAAAATCCGGTACTGAGGCCAAGTCGGGACTTGTGCTTGTAACAGGCCGTGGTGGCAACTTCCTGTTTGGAGAACTAACATGAACTAACAAGGTTCAAGCTTCAACTCTTTGCAACAGTGATTTGCATGGAAGAAAGCACCAAGCCGCACTGAGCATGCGACACGCAAATGATGTCGCAAAATGAAGGCTCTTGACAGGAGGTGTTGGATCCTGCCAAGTCTGCACCGATCATCACAAGCATGGGTGATGGGTTTTGATGGGTAACATGGCATGCGACTTGATTCAAAGGGTGGATGCCTGGCCTCAGCTGGACGTGAGGAGTGTGACTTGGGCAATAAAGGTTATTGAAGGTGATTGATAAAAAACAAATCATTTGTTCATATTTGTTCACATGAATGTATTCTATTGTTGATTCGACCTCATCCTTGTGTCGTGCGGCTCAAAGAGTGAGTCTATCTTCAACGACTCGCGAATGAAGCGATGATCTACGGTGATGGGGTGTTTCACAAACTGAAACTCTTTGGTCTGAGTCTCCAGAAAGTTCCCTCTTTGTCCTCCTCCAGGGTTGAACACCAGCCTCAGGCTCTATTTCAAGGGCTGCACACGTCACACATCTGCATCGCTGCTGTCCCCTCTGCATCGCGGAGTCCACGCACGATCCTCTGGGGTTTCCGGGCGAGGTGAATCCGTAGGTCTCGATGGTAAAGCATCCCCCAGGTAGCAACGACTCGTTTCTCCGCTGCAAACAGGCCTGGATTCGATGGTAAAGCATCCCCCAAGCGATCCAAGGGACACAAAGATGGGCGACATTGGGTGGTTTTTGCTGGTTAGTGTAATTCATTGTATACGTCAAATTTGCATACATGGAGCGTCTGTGATGGAGCGTCGTGTTTTCAGAGCTAGTACTGCTTTTCTACCATGAATTTCACTATGTCGCTAGTTTGCTGAACTGGGATTCAAACACTCAAGCTTGTCGATTGACAAATGCCTTGCACATCGATGGTCCTGGAGCAACCGCCAAAACGAACAGGTACTGGGCTTGCACTGGACAAGCACACAACCTAGCTGCAGCCCTGCACTTTTGATCACTTTTGTACATCAAATATAAAGAATTCCGAAGCCTAAGCTTGAAACGATTCAACGCGAGTGAACCAATGGAAGAGGTGGACCATCTCTTCCACTTCCCCCTCTTGACTCTAGCCAACAGGCTGTGTACCGATTCATACAAGACTTCCGGTCCAAACTGCTACACTTGGTGTCGGCTCTTTTTGAGAGGGCCCGGAGCCAGGCGCAGGACGCACACGTGGAACGTTCGGGAGCCCCTGTCTCGTCTGCACCCTCGATGCATTCGATCTCATCTTGTACTGACCTCATGGCACCGTTCAAGAGATATGTTCATTGGCTGAAGAAAATGAAACCCTCTGGCAAAGTGTGATAAAACAGGTATCTCTCTTTTAACAGCTGAAAGCTGAAAATCAAGATCGGGACCATGTGTCGCCCTTTGTATCCCTTTCTCATCCTCCTACATATTTCATGCCATCTTCTCGGATCGTTTGTTTCGCCGTCCGACTCAGATGAGGACTGAGAGCCGCGGGGGCACGGTGCATTACCGTTCCTGAAATAGATCCTCAGCAGTTAGGAGTCCGTGACGGGTGGGAGGAGTTCGAATGGAATGGACGGGCACCGTATGGAACGGCGAGAAGTTCCAAGAGCAGCACCGTTGTCCCATGAAATCTGAAAGTGGACCTGTATGGAGGCAGGGGACAGTTCCATGGCAGGGACTCCAATGAAATTTCACTCAACTTGTCAACTTGTCGTCACAACACATTATTCTACTAGTAGAGAGATGTAATATGTTACAGTTGTGACTCTCTATACACTCTGTATAAATATATATATATTACATACAATGTATTTACTAGCGAATTCCAGTGCAACTCGTGTCTCAGTCTCTCGTTGGACCGAAGCCAAAGTAAGTCGGTCCGGCTACCTGCACTTCCAGCTGGATCTTCGAGCCGCCTCGAAGCACCTGCGGATCAATATCCAGGTGGCACAGCCCTGGAAAGCCCTGAACGCCCTGCCCTGGAGCCGAACCTGGGCACCCCGCCCTTTCCAGCCCCCCTGGAGTTTGACCCTGAACATGAACAGATTCCTCTATCAGATGTGATTCGTGGGGATCTCAGGGTGTCCACCCGGTGGTGACAGAGTTGGGAGGAACTTGTGAGAAGCGACGGAACCCCTTTTTCTTCACCATATGCCCGAGAAGGGCTCCGATCGTCCCATCTCCTCAGGTTCGGGTTTCTATTCGACCCTGGCACCCACCCCTGGCCCACCGAACCGGTGTAGGCCAGGAGCGCTGGACGTTGGGATCGAACCGAGCCCCCAGAAAGAACGGACCAAACATGGCCAAAGAACCGAAACCAAAGTGGAACGGAGATGAACGGAGTCCATAAGAACGAAGAAAGAAACACTGAAAACACCCCAGTGGTGGTGCCCCTTAGACAACCATACGGGTTCAGGCCGGGAAAAGGATGGAAAACGGGGGTTCATGTCCTTTTGCCTCATCACGTCTGCTAAGAGAAGAATCCTTCTCTCGGCGTCCCTAACTCGGCCCATCTCTGCGGTGCCTGGCCATCTCTGTGTCTTAACTCTGTCAAGTTCCTGGCGCTGAACCGGCATCACGTGAACACCGAAGTTCCTCGCTTCTACGTAGTAAGGTGGACTGGTCGTGGGACTGCATGGAATTGCCGCTGTTAAAACATGCCGAAACGTTCAATCCGAAAGCGGACTGAACAGAAAAAAATAAAAAAAGGACACTGGTCTTTAGAAGAATCAAGCAGATTCAGAGCCAACGAGCGATCATGAGTGAAAGTCACACACAAGATCCTTCACCTTCATCTTGAATCTTTCACCTTTATCTCCTGCATGCTCCTACCATGCTCCGATGGGTCACGTGTTTTGGTTGCCGTGAGCTATTCCGGTGATGAAAAACCGTCCTCAGCCAGAAGCAGTGCTTCGAGTTGCAGTAGAAGCATCAGCCGAAAGAATCCAAAACGCACACCTCCTGAGCACGGCGTGGGTGAGAGAGACATAAAGCGGGAGCTGTGTTTGGGCGTCAATAATTTTTACAAAATGGTCTCTATAAATGAATCTGAATGAATCTGAATGATGAAAAAACAACATCAATCAATGGGGGAGGTCACTGTTCCTGTCCTTCATCGTGTCTGATCGTAGTGCTGTTCTTACAAATGAACCCAAGAAAGAATCATACTCCTGTTGCATCCTATTGCATCGATCACCATGAATCTTGGGGCTGCTGGTGTTTAGGTTCGTGATATGTCGTCCTACTTCATCATGATTATTCTGCTCTGTTTTTGCAGGAAGTGCTTCTTCTGGTCATCTCCTCGTAGAACCCAAACCAAACCCTCCGCAGATGACCTGGTGATCCCCGCCTCTCCACAGGCCAGGAGGCATCTTTGCCACTAGATGCACTGCATTTCGTGGCACCCCAGCCTCAGCCCTTTTTCCTCACCCTCAACAAAACAACACACATGCCCAGAATGTGCGGCAAGTAAAGCCGTTTGCCCTGCCCATGCTGCTGGAAGTCATGCTGGTCCCATGGGGGCTCTGGTTTGTGGGGTCTGGTGCTGGCAAGCAATCAAGAACATCATGTCCTGTTCTTGCATAACTACGTTGTCCTTGAGCCATGCAAAGTATAGTGCCGCATAGTGAACATGAACGAACATAACTCCAAAAGGACTCTTGTGGCAAGCTCAGATCTGTTTGAATGAATTGAGGCTTTCATTAGTCACGAAGGTCTTCTTGCGGGCTCAAACATTGTCTAGCGCCCTCCTCGTAGATGGACACCGCAGGAATTCATGATTTCCAAGCTACGATCCACTAATCCACTATCCCTTACAATTGTAGATAAGCCAGCCTTGCATAATATACCACAAACTTGTAGATAAGCCGGCCTTAAATAACAAAACCACCAACTGCTTTAACATGAAAGCCCCGTGTCAAATGCCACATGCCACATGCCACATGCCAAGTCATCGTTGGTCCCTGAACTTCCGAAACTCACCGTTCTTTGACCGATTGATCAACGAAACGAAGCGATGACCCGCCCCCAAAACCCATCCCTCGGGTCGCCCGCCGCTCCAGCGCCTGTACAAATCTGCTGAATGTGCAGCTTCTCGGAGCTCTTGTGCTGCACCTGGTGCGACGGCCGTCTCCGGGACCCGATCGACCCGATCCGAAGACCGTGACGGAAGTCGAGGAGCGACCCCGCCACGCGAACGGTTCGATGTAATTCCGGCTTCGGATTCTGAGGCAAGTACAGTACTCGGTCTGCTGGGCAGTTAGATTCATATAGGATTTAGGGTTTAGGGTTTGGCTCTCTTATTTGTCTGACATGTGCATTATATCAAATATGGTATCCTCCACTAGCATCAGCCTCGTGACTTGGCCATTCTATCCCCTACCGAACCCAAATGCAATTTCGTTGGACAAATAGCTCGTCTTGACGACAGCGGTTTCAGGCTTTGTTGGAACGGTTATATGGGGTTACGGGATGTTATGGGATTGTTGTGGTTTGTTATCGGTTGCCCAAAACCCGGCTTTCTGCCGTGCATGCCACAGTTGTTCATATTTTTCCGGATAATCATGAGCTGGTACAGGATGATGCTGAAACACCATGATCAGACCTCTTTCGACGCGAATTCGGTGTGTTCGGTCATCCATTCACTCAAGGACCTTTGCATGCTTGGACCAAAGGTTGAAGGGGGATCCTAGCTCCGCAGCGAGCTGCGGCGAGCTGCGCACGCCTACCCGTGCTCGCAAGCGTCTGAGTCGCTCCCTTGCAAATCCGACCTGATCAGAGGGCCACCAATCCCTAACCAAGCTCCATGTAAAGCAGGAGTGGCAACGAAACTCCCGAGCAAAAAACCGTTGTTTTTGTTGCGGGCTTTTGGACTCCTGACACGTCCACATCCGGCCCCGCCTCCGAACTGGTGAAGCCTGCCGCGTCTGCTGCGGTGATCGCAGCCAGCAAGCGGCGCTGATCCTCGCGTTTTTGGTGTTTCGGCGTGGTTTCGGTGTGCTTTTCGCGCCTGGTCGACTCATGAGCCGTGCTTTTTTGCCTGGGCTAGGGGGACAGCCACTAGGTGCTCATACCTCCAAACAAATTCATGAAAGAGGTGCCAACACGGAGTGGCCAAGTTCTCACGTCGCATTCTGGTCCTCTCCCTGCACTGCTTTGGAGAGCTCCTGCAATCGCAATTCGGAGGACTCGTGTGATTCGTGTGAGCAAAACATCTGCAATCTGCCAAGAGGACACCAAGGTATCACATGCAATCCAATCGGGTCTCCCCGATAAGAATGCTAGAGCCAGTTCCCCAAAAAGCTGTGCAGTGCCACAGTGCCACACGCCGTGCTAGTGACTTTGTAAATATCAACCACGCAATAAGAACAGGCCTTGGCTCATCTTGGTTCCTCAAAGCTTAAGCATTGCTATTAGATGCTATACTAGTAACACTACCAGTCACTTTAGCACTCCCGATTGACATCTGGGGACCTTCTTCGGCCCCCTGGACCCAAGCCTGTTGTTAAAACAGCATGTGGGCGACCCCGCAGGAGCTGTTGACGACGACAGCTAAGCTTGTTACGTACCGTTTAAGCCGTGTGTGTGTGTGTGTACCCCTTGGAGTCAGAGGGATCCGTCAGGATTAAATTAGCTTTCACTTTTGCTTTACGGCAGGGGAAAAACCCTCTGACAGGCCCGGCCCAATCGTCTGACCCGAGTACGGCCGTACGTAGGATGGATGCCCAGGACCGCTCCATATCGGGTCAGCAATCTCAAACACCCTTGTGTCGGAGGGGCCCAGGTTCTGCATAAAACCAACCGCTGATGCAAGGGTCCAAAGCCCGGGGAAGGACTCCTTTGTACTGTTCAAGGATTTGAGGTGCAAGGTGGCACACGGTGGGTGGTACAGCATTTTGGTTCGTGAAGGCCACTCCACCCACCACCAGGGAGTGGCCAACGAAGAGCCTGGTGGTGTGGTGCTGAAACGTACCTGCCCAATTTTTAATGGACTTGTGATTGCTGGAACTTTTGCATAAGCTGTGACTCCAATTTTCCTTTTTGGTTACTTGGCTTCGATCGTGAACGTCGGCAGCTTGCTTTCCTTGTCGTTGCATTGCACTTTGACATATTTTGACACCGCACTGCAACTTGTTTTTTCATGGCTAGATGCCGCTTTACTTCCTGACCTCTTAGGTTTCCTGGACCACTTAGGTTTCCATATGGCTACTGGGCATCTTACCGAACGCAATTGATAAGTATGTAGCTGTGCGATGGACCTCTACTTCCTTTCTAGGTCTCCTTACCTGTATCCTTAGGAAATGGAACCCTAGGCCGGCGTGTGGCACCGCATTCAGTTCCGTACACAAAATCTCAAGTGTGTGTTTTTTTTAAGGTCAAGCGCCCAAAAACACAGCGGAGTTGCCGCACATTCGGTGACTGACAGAAAGACACACCACGACTCCGGGTTTGGGTGTTCCGACCTCTGCCACGTCCGCCCTGGTCTTGGCCATGGTCTCTTCGGCCTGGTGGCCGGATGTAGCGAATCAGGCAGCAGTGATTGGCTTTTAGCACACAGCATGTTTTGTTGATTATTTTAGTTATGTGTCATTGCGGGAACATTATCCCCTGATCTCATATTCGATGATATTTGGCATGTTCAGCACAAGCATGGCTTCCAAAACGAGAAGCTTTTTGAATTTAGAAGGCTTTAGAAAATGGTCGAAACGGGATGTTTCAGCACTTGAAACTTGGGAGAAACCTCGAGAAACTCTTGAACTCACAGCAAGACTCCTGACAGGTGCTGAGTAGGGAATGAGGGAATGACCCCTCAATATAGATACCTTAGGATCCAGCCACCCTCATTCCTTACTTTCGTCGCACCAGTCAGCCGCACCAGTGGGCTTCGTTTGGCGGCCAGCTTTCCATCGCTCGTTCGGTGCGAGGTGTTTCCGTTGGCTGCCATGGGTGCAACGTGCTGCCCATGGGGTGCCTTTTTGGAAAGTCACAGGCGAAATCCGGAGAAATCTGCACAGAAGTCCCAGTCACCTATGATACACCAGAACACAACATCAATTAGAGCAGAAATCCAGATCTATGCTTTGCTCAAACATCAATTGAGCTTGTCGATTTCTCCCATCCGACGCATCGACCGAAGACTCGGGACCGACTGTCGTTTGACCGTACCGGGACCGGTCCATCCATCTACAGGGCACCGGACCTCCAGAATAGACAGTGTCTGTCTGGCAATTTCCATCACTTCACAGTCTTCTTCCACAGAGTTCTCCTGCTCCAACGGTCTATGATGGTTTATGAATGAACCACAAAGCACTGTAAGAGTCACAAACCAATAAAAACAATCAAAGCAACCTAATAGCGATGGCCTCCAACCTACTAGAGATGGCCTCCAACATGTATAGTCCGGGCCTTGGCTTCTTTCATAGCAAGTAGTATTTGCTCCTTATTTCTTGCCTGGCAGATGGTGCCGCTGGAAGTGTTCGCAAAGCTGTCCAGGCTGCGCCTTCGTAGCAAGAGCCAGCTTCGTTTGGCATCCCTGTCGAATTTTCAGCTGCGAGTGCCTGGCGGAGAAAACGCATCCCCTGCCGTGCCTTATCTCATTCAACGACAAGTCAACTTGTCTTGCTTGCAAACATGTGTCTACTACCTTTGGAACTACACCCATGAGACAAACATGTGTCACAAGTCAAATGATCCTTTGCACCGTAGAACGAATGTCGCAAAGATCGCACCTCTTCTTGAACTGTTGCCACTCTTGCTTCGGTACCCCGTGATCTGCAAGCTCCTTTCCGGGGCGACGTGGCTGAAAGACAAATCCAAGTGCTCTTCCTTTGACCATACAAAATGGAAAGTCTTTGGCCTACTGCATCATGCTGTGTATACCCGCTTTTTCAGGATGGAACTTGCTTCTGTGGGGCATGTTGGGTTCAGTCCATTCAACGGATGCTCTTGGATGCTTTGGCCCGGCCATTTGTGGGACCAGCCATAAAATATCATAAAATAAGATCTCTCCTCCAAACCTTTGGCAAAGTTTTCCACATCTTCTGAATCCGCCAGCTTGGAGAGCCTGCTGTCCACTCAGCATGGACAAAACAGAGTCCGAGTCCTATCGGGCTACGAAGGACTTGACTTATACCTTTTTTTCCAGTCTGGAAAAAGTATCGAATAGGGACAATCGAGGGTGCTACCAGTCCTATCGTCTGGATCCTACCAGTTTTATTTGTCAATCGGAAATATGATTTGCATCTTCCAAGAATCGGAATAGGCAGATCAGGTGTGGCTGGCGCCCGCGCGGTTGCGCCTTGCCATCGCATGCTGCCGCAACTCCTGGCGAGCTGCCCCCAACCTTAGGTTGCGAAGAGTTGAAAGAAGCTGCGACAGACTCCAAGAACATCGAATTGGTGCCACCCAAAAACATACATGAGGAATGTGCCAACTGTCATTGGATGCATCTGAGTTCCACGGAATTTATAGTATAAATATGTACAGTATAAATGACTCTTGTCGAATTCCAGCGTCAGAAGTATGATCTGTGCGGAAAAACAGTCCAGTTGCAGCAAGTGCTCCTGACAGTGCCTAAACATCTGCACTCTATTCGATGGAGAATTTCTTGAGTTCAGCACTCCTCCTGCTCCTTCGGGTCTTCTCCAAGCATTCCAGGTGCCTTGGAGAAGCTTCTCCAGCTTCAACCCACTGAGACTCTTGATTCTTTTCCAGCTACTCCGAGAAACACCAAATTTGTGCCCACTTTTCCAAAATGCTGTGCCTTCATCAACCTTCCTTCAATCGGATATTTGTTCAGATCATATCTTCCACTTCACTGCCACCGCCCGCGGTGCGCCTCTTCGTGAAGTCCCACCTTCTCCGCTGCTGCGATGGCGACTTTCAGCTTGGCCGGCTCCTTGAGGGACCAAAGTAACGGCCAAAGCATCCCGATGTCCAACTTTACGAACGGAGCCAAAGCAACGGACGCTTGAAAGGGGGTATCTTAGATTCTTGGAATAGATATCCAATAGTGTTCGCACATGTCTTTTTCAGCCATTCTTCCCATGACTCATCATGACTCGCGGGAACTTCCTTTCGTATAACTGCCATTGGCCATACCGCATCTATTTCCTTTACGGGTCGGCCTTGGACACCGTAGCTTTTCGAAGCTCATCCCTTGCAGTCTCACGTGCCTGGCACTGAGCAGACGGCACAGCAAAACACCGATTGTTGGTCGGATGGTTAGACCGAAAGCTGGTTGCTTATTGTTCTTCTGTAACAAAAGACACGGGCATTATCAGTTTTGAGATGGACCTTATTGTTCTGCAGTGTTGTGAGTTCGCCACATACTGATGATCATGTGCTGGGTTGTCGGTTTCAGGTGGACCTTCATTCGCATGTTTTGATCGTGGATCATCTGCGTCAGTTATCAACTGTCTAGATCCAGGCTTACACAGTTGACAAAAGGATGTTGGATGGATATCAGTCGCTTGTGCCTGTAAAGTTCGCAGAGCATCACGAGCTTTCTTCACCACTGCCTCTTCTGTATGAACCTTGCCAGTCACGCCAGCTGAATCAGGATAGAAGAGAGAGATACATCCATCACCATCCATCCATATATATGTATGCATACAAAAACATTATATACACATATTAATAGTAAATAACGAGTAAAACACATAATTTGATACTTTTGATATATTAATATATAATATATTGAATTATATTATATTACATAATATTATATCATAATCATAATATGTTCATCTTGAGGACATGCCTCTTGCCCGCTTAGTTCCCATGGATCAAGAACCAGCTGGCCTTCAAGGCGCTCTCGATAGCTGTCCGAAGACGAGCCTTGTCTCTCGCCTGAATTGGCATCATCCAGTGTTATGAAATCACCAAACTGCATTGCCGAAAACATCCAAAAACCTTGGATGTTCATGGATTCATGGCTCCAAAAATCCCAGGTGGCCTGTAGTCGCCTCCAAAATCACTCACAACTTCACCTCCTAAAAGCCCTACCATCCATTCTCACTCCTTTCCGCAACCGTGCCGCTCGCCTGAGCTGCCTTCCGGAGCTCACGGGCGGCCTCCGACCGGGTCGGGTCCCGCGGGGGTGCGGATCGACCGAGTGTTCGGCCGCCTCGGAGCGAAGCTTGTGGGTCCTCATGGCTTGCTTCAGGCGTGGAGCCTCGCGGAAACATGGAAGTTGGCTGCCAGCTGTTGGTGTGATGTGAAGGATATGCATGTCTTGGCTTGGGGTCAAAGAAGTTGGAGAAATCTGTTGCGTTGGGGGACATATGTATCTCTGCGACATCGACAATAAGAAAGAGAGAGAGAGAGACACAAAGAGAGAGATCGAAACAGCAGCCGTCGTTGGTCGTTGGTTGATGTGAGTTGACTCCGAACATCCAAAAACCTGCACAAGATCTTGACCGATGCTGGGCACATCGACATGGCCTGGTCCTTCCCTAGGCCACAGCCAATAACAGCTTGCATTGCCTTGGCTTTTGGAATGTCATGGCACTTGCAAGGCTTTGCCCACACTCATCCCAGCACGATTGCTGTGTAATGGGCCTGTCTTTTGCAGGGCTTTTGGTAGTCTGCAGGAAACATGGACCAAACAAGTATTGGTAGCTTGCTAGCACGGATCTAGTGCAGTGCTAGCGCACGGCTAGCGCATTTTTGGGCGTTCAGGTACTCTTCAAAACCTGACGACCTTCTGAACATGTCCTAAGTCTAAGTCAAACACTAGCGCAAGTCTACCGCAAACGTAGCGCCCAGCTGCAGAATAGGTGTGTTTAGCTGGGGTCCCACTAGATAAACTAACTGAAAAACATTGAACAACGAAAAACATCATAAGCCTAAGCTACTGTCGACCCTCTATCTAATCTTGTTGATTGTAGACTTTTGGCCGAACTCCATATATAGCACAGTTCCTGGAAACATCAGGTCCAAGATGTCAGACAGAAAGCTGCGGCTGCACGCAATTTTTTTTGTTAGAGGTGGTTGGCTTTTAGAATCTTTTAGTCTGGGAGTTCGACCCCTTCTTGGTCCATGTTTTGGCTGGGTACTGTAGTAGCCAAGATTCCACCACCCGAGAATTTCTACCAGTAACCACTACTCCAAGACTTAGCTACCCTACCCCGATTGCTGTCTGGTGATTTTTGCATGTGGGGTCCTTTTGCAGACCAGTGGGTCTAGTACAAGTCAGACACATCTCTTCGTGACTCTCTGGCGCAGGTGGTAGTAAGATGACACTCAGAGGGTTTCCAGGAGCCCTGTTGCGCGGCCAGGGGACATGAAGTGCTTACGCTGAGCTCACGCAAACAAATCAGGACAAAGTCGCAATACATAATAGCCAACAATGGAAAATTGAAGCAGGCACACACGCAGTGCAAAATGAAAGATTACGCACTTTGCTTGCGCTAGTGCTACAGACAGCAACTGCTTACGCAACCTTACGCACTTCTGGGCTTTGCCTTATGACCATGTCCTTACTAAGTATGAACACCTAGGTTCTGAACGATGTTCACATTCGAATGGGCCAGCTGATGTTTAGAAAGAATGCCAGGAGAAGAGACCCCAACATCTCCAGGGCGGGAATGTTAGCACCTCAAGGGCGAGCCTCCTTGACCCACATGCCATGACTTGAGCCACGCTTCTTCCCGAAGGCCATGAAGGGAAGCAGCTCCAGCCCAGAACTCCTTCAGGGTCTAGCTGGCCCAAAACTTGTAACAGTGTGCCAATGTGCGCCCACTATTGGCCCGCTTCGGACACCTCTACACCATGAAGGATCTCTGGGACATCTGGAGCTACTTCCCCATGGTGGGAAGAAGCATGCTCAAGGAAGCTCACCGTTATCAAGACTTGAGCCAAAGTGGCACGCCATTTTCGGCTACAGTAATGAAATGTATTCAGGAAACATGACATGCTTTACGCATGCTCCAAGCACATACAAATGGTGCCCAATGCGTCTTAAGCTTGGTTGGTTTCGTTGAGACAAGGAAAAACACCGAGGGCGGTGGACTCCGAGGGTGGGACTGCTTGCAGTTTCCAGTAGTCAAGCGACTCAATAGCATCCTGAATCAGCCGAGTGTGGCAAACTGTGCGCCATGCAAAGGATGTGGAAGCTCACCTTTTGTGTCTCCGCAACAAGACTGAAAGTACATGAGCCACGACTTCCAATACGTCCTCCACCAAGCTCAAGGTTTTCTTTCGAAAGTCTGCCGCCTGAGCCATGTCGAGCCCTTCAAATCGCAGAAGAGTGAACCATCTGTGAACTCCATCAGCCTCTGCTGCAAGCAAAGTGTCTCGTGCCCATCTGACCTGCGAAATGGCCGGCACCTACGGTCCATGCTCTGCCCAACACTTCCATCATCTCCATCTGTGAAACCAGACCCCAGCATCAACCCTCCCAAACAAAGCACAGCCTCGACCGCATCGACCGCCCAGGCCCCTCTGGCAAGCCCGGTGTCCACCGATGAAAAACCGACGTGAGAACACGTAGGGAGACGGCCCATCTCCTTCATGGAAGAATGACCCAGAAACATCCCCTGAGAAGTTTCTTCCTATTAAAACATACTTAAAACCATCTACAAAGCCATCATCGGTTCGACCCGATCCTTCGACCCCACCATGAAAAAGGACGGAGAAGAGAAAACAACACCATGCGACGACGCTTCCGAAGCCTCGGAACCTTGCATGCCCATCCTCTGCGCTTCCAACAGCAACTCCTCACCGGTCCGCTGCCGGAACCGAGCGTCGCCGAAAAGGTTCGGAGGCTCCGGCGTGTGCGGAGGTACGGGGGGAGGCCATGCTAAAGCAAAGACCTTAAGATGACAAGGATAAGACAAGGGAGAAAAGGACAAACATGTACTAGTAGAAATTCCACGCACTGCAAGCACACTGTTTACAGGGAAATGGCCGCTGTTTCTTCCGGACAACTGAACGAAGATTCAGCCAACACGGAGTCAAAGCCGCCTCCACCTCCTTCGTGCTACCCTTCTCGACAGCGGCACTCAGCCGTCTTCGTGCCTGCAAAACAGTGTCAAACAAGAAGCGAATGCAAGAGGTCACACGCACTGTTTGACACTGTCCAAGCGATCCAAATGAGCTTGACATGACTGAGCTCGACATGAAGAATGTGCCTTGAATGCAAATCCCAACTGGTCACCGGGGATGGAAGGTCATGGTACAAATGCTCCGGACTGCCTTCCGGGTGCCCGGATCCTCTTCCTCAAAGCCTTCTTTGGACGGCTCGATCGTCTCTCCAGGTGGGTTGGGCGCGTTGGGCGGTGCCCCTCGCGGCTGAAGCTTCAGCCGGGGCAAATCCAGTCCTGGAGTCAGATCCCAAGCAATTTCATGTGCCAAAGTCCTGAATTTCTAACGTAAAGGCCAATTGAAAAGACCTTCCACATCCCCGCTTAGAAAGCGGCACAGCAAAATCCTCCATAAATCTGCAGCAATCTCAAGTATGTGATAGTACGATTTCTGAGTCGAGAATTCTGGGAGGATTCTAGGATTCTTTCTTAGGGCCGGAAGCAATACACCCAACAGGCAATGGCGAAGCAAGAGTAAGTAACACTCGATGACAATTGTGCTCCTGCAGATGGATCGACACGCTGGTTCCCAGACTCCTCTGCAACTTGGAATTCAGACGAACTCGATCTGTTTGAGATCATACATGTACATAAATGATCAAACAGAAAGTACATAAAATGTACCATAAATGTAATGATCATTTATCATTGTACATAAATGATCATAAATGTACCTGGCCTCTGGCCACGGATATGCAGCAGGTGGCGGTGGTGGGGGAACTCCAGGCCTCTAACGCAGACAAGGTCAATGACTCACCTTTCAAAAGTTTAAGGATACCGGGTTTCTTCAGCAAAACCATTAAACAGATGTGTAGACCTTCTCCCCAACCGACACAATGGTACCAAAAAGGATCAAAGACACTGTGTGAGAAAAAGGAAATTTAAGTAAGACAGTCAGACTTGTACACTAAACTAAGGGTCATCTACCATTTCAACTACTCCACACGGGCTCCGCCGCGAACCACTCCAGACCCTGCCTGTGTGCCGCTGAACCGCTCCAGGAGGCGCCAGTGCCCACGGGCGTCGCTGGCCCCGCTCCAGCCGGCACGGGCCGCACCTGATGCTCCGAATGTGGAGCTTCCACTGTTGACACTGGTTGACACCATGAAACAAAAACAACTGTGAAGCTCGTTTTTATCTCATGGATTGTCCGAGGAAATCGAAGTATTGGCATGTAAAATAAATACTACTATGATAATGTCATCTTATTATATATATAAGAATAAACATATATAAACTTTACACTTGAGATCAACAATTGCTCAAAAGGTCCTTGCTTGAAGGATCTGATCCGTTATTCTTCCATCGACACCGACAGGAACTTCACGTCGCCGAGCGGATCTTGGTTCCGCCTTCGCCAGCGGCACGTTGCGTTGCAAGTACCTCACAGCGACAGCGACGCCAGATGTCTGGGTCGGGACTGCGGGGCCCTGCGGATCTTCCTAAAAGGGCATGAAAGGAGCAGCCATGAGATGCCAAGGGCCTAGCCCATCGTCATATTGGATGGTGAGAGCTCCTGGACCTGCCTGGGCACAGAAGGAACAACTGAACGTCACCGCGCAGTTGACTCATGCAGCCAACGATCCAAGGTTGCGACCTCTACAACCTGCCAGGAGACGGTTGCTGGCTTGGCTCTCTGGACAGCTGTGCGTGCAAAGCTTGTGGAGAAACAAGCGGTTCTTGTCTTGTGAAGGTTCTTTGACGGGCTTTTATCGCGTGGTTTTCGAAGCTCTGGGGTGTATTAGCGCGAAGACAATGTGGTTCCAGGAACCCTTGGCCCCGGTCGTAGCTGAAGCAAATGAGCATGCTATAGCTATGATCATCCTGCGCTCTTCAGAATCCCCAAGAACGACAAGGAACGATAACACTAGACAACCAGCTGGCCTATGCTCCCAACATGTCGCTCATGTTCACCCCCCCCCCCACCCGAACGGTTGGTTCCCTCCCTCCCCGGGACCTGGCCGCGGTGCCACCGGCCAGGGACCCATTCGGCTTCCACCGTGGCTCCCGGAACGATCCCACCTGGCGGAGCAGAGCACGCAGCTGGTGCAGCTGGTGCAGCTGGTGCTGGGCTGGGAGGAAGGAGGTGGTTTCTGGGGTCGTTTGGGGGATTGAAAAGGCCACGTTTTAAGGTCACTTCGGCCACTTCTTGGGGGAATGGGAAGGAAACACGATGCGTCTGTTTGACTCGCTCATGGAAGTGGTGAAAGAACTTCTTGCTCAATGGAAGTGGTGAAAGAAATGAATTGCTCATGGAAGTGGTGAGTCGTTCGCTTGGCCTGGGCCTTGGATAGGGAAGAACTGGAAGTTGCTGCCGAAGCTGAACCTGCTTCGTGGTGACCAGCCACATGTTATCGCTCGGAGAACGGGCACATGCGCCGTTCTCGCAAAGAGAACGAGTTCGTTGGGCACCACGACCAGGCCTGTCCATCTTCCCATTGGAGCCTACCCCCTAAGTGCCAACCTTTCTCTATGCACAGAAGAAGCTGCAGAGTCTTGGCAAAGCTGCTGATCTGATTTAAGAGTGCTCTGCCCCGACTTCATGCGAGCAACAGGGCCCTCGTCATGAGCTTCCCGATAAAAAGGTTTTTGCATCAGTCGACGGCTATTCAGATCTATTAAATTCAGGATAATGCGCAGGCGCTTCAGATTAGTTCAGTGTTTATGTGAAGCAACATCATGCCAAAATCAACAGCATATCTCTTCGCTTGAGCCTCATTTGCGCAAGGCCACACCCTTGGCAGCAAATTCACTTCTCTCCATTTGGCTCTTCCACCTAAGGAGTCCGTAACTCTCTGTGACTTTTCCACACCACGAGCGGCTCAAGGGAGCAGGTCTCTAACTGCCTTTGGTGCAGGTCTTATTGCCTGCCCTGTACACCGACAAATGGGGTGTAAAGAATGCTTCTCCGATGGTCCTTTCCAAAGTCACATACTGGGTCGGAAATCAATACCGAAAGCGAAGATGGATTTGAGAATGGTGACAAAGTCTTCAACCCAGCCCACATTCATTCAAGGCGGTTCAACACTTGCCATCCAGCACCTGAGGAGTCTCCAAGAGAAGGGATAACGACTTTGGGGCAGGTGATTTCCTTTTCAAATCAAAAGAACCACGACGGACCTGGGTTTGTTCCCAAGCTATGAGTCTTCCGCCAAGGCCATGCCACCCTGGCCTCTCTGGAAAGGATCTGGAAAGCCAAGGCCAAGCAGCGCAGGTCCGGCCTGGCGCTCGCGGCATCTTGAACCCATGTCCGGTGGTGTGTCCGGTGGTGTGTCCCGGTTGTGCGTCAATACCCCAAAGCCCCAAACCCAACCCTGCTAGGTTTATATGAGGTTCTGTAAAATATGATATATCGACCCCCTGTGTGACTGGTGTGTGACTGGGAGGCGCTGTTTTTGCCAGTCTCTAACACATGTCTGTGGACATACATCCAAAAATGCACTGCTTACGCAACATGACGCACAACTCCCTTACACAACCTTGCACTTCTCAGCTGTTCATTTACACTCCAATTGCACCACGGGCTCTGAAGATCCAAACGTTCACGATCTTGGAAAGGCCATACGGACATAGATGCAGCAATCAAAACTTGCAAAGCAACAAATCACAAAATGTCTTGGACACCACTTGGACCAATCCTTTGCCAAACAACCCACCAATCCGCAAGAAGGAAGGGACGAAATCAACATGAGAAGTGCGTGGTCAGAGCCACTGGGCTCAGCCAGTGCGCCGGCATTGCTTCAGGTGTCTCGCACCGGGGGGAGGGAGGTTTACATTATGGGATCCCGGGCGTCTCCTGGGTACTCGTTGTGGGATTCTCGTTGTATCACAACGATATTGGGCGGTGTTTCTGGGTGACTCGTTCCGTCGTTTTTGGAACGATTCCAACGAAAAGTCTTCACCTGTTGCGTGGTGAGCTTGCAGTGTTTTTTCTCTATCTGTTTGGGTTTGGGCTGCATGTTTCCTATCTTGTAGTCTGCAGAACATCAAGGGCAGCACTACCATGATCTACTCCAAAATTAATAGCCTCGCCAAGAACATCCTGAAGACACCCTGCATGAACAAGTTTACAAGTAGCCATTGTTGCTCTGTATGCTACACCTGTCCGCAATCTACTCTGTTTCCTCAACTGCAGCTGTCAGTACAGAACAGCAAAGAACTTCATACTCAGCTGTGACGCACCTTACCATTCCTCATTAAAAGAGAAAAATCAGACCTTGAGAATAAGAAAGCGATGCTGAACCTCGGACGGGCTAAAATCTCAGGAGCACTCAGGATCCGCAAGCGGATCCGCTTTGAGGGAGTGTGAAAGCCAAGAAGCAAAAGTCCAGCAAGTCACAACATGTCGACATAGAAATTCAAAGGAACTTTAGGAATGTTTATGGATATGCCACTGCCAAATGAGTAGTTAGGTTGAACTTGTAGGATTCAAAACTTGACTATGACTCATGACTTTATGCAAAAGACCACGACCAAGGCATCACAACGGGAAGCATGGTCAAGCTTCACTGATTTCTCCCTCACCTAGGAAACCAAACATGGATAAACATGGTATGTTTGGGTAAATCAGAATCTCAACACATCATCCATCTCCCCCATGTGATCCTGCGAATCCTCTGGTCTCTCTCCAAATGCGCCAGTCAGACTTCCTGACCACGGCGCTCGCCAGCTCTGCAAGCACACCTTGGGCGTTCATCGAAACCTCGGCGAAGTTCGGATGCGTCACGAGTGACGGACGGTCAGCCATGAGTGCGTGCTGAACTAGGCACGCTCAGGATGGACCGCAGGCATGTCACCCCGCCATGCGACCATGTGCGACCCACGAAAAAAAGAAAAAAGGCCTCTGCCACCGACTGCCACCCAGATGTTCGTTTCGAGGGTCTAATTTGGAGGGCTGTCGTTTCCCCATGGTTCAATTAAAGAAAAAAGGAACCGCCTTCAGTGCTTCTGCACACCCACAATCGATATAGATATGGTTCACCGAAAAAAACACGAGTACAGAATCTGCCACAGAAACCAACGATGGTGGGACGATCAGAGACTTTCTGTGGAGAGAAGAAAAGGGTCCTGTTTCCTTTCTCCGTGTTTCCTCATGCTTCAGCCAGTTTGGGATCCTCATGGTTCAGCTACATCACACCCATCACACCGGCCACGGTCCGCCACCGAGTCTCCACGAAGACTCGAGGACCGGCGGCTCCGACCTCCTGCGACGGGCGGAGTTCGCTCGGCGTTCCCGCCAGAGATTGAGACGCATAGTCCACATGGCACAGTTGAGCTGTGTGTGTGGCACGGTTGAGATGTGTTCCTCTAGTAAGTCTTGGTAAGTCTTTAAGACTATATCATATACATATATATATATATACATATACATACCTGAGAAGGGAGGGGGCGAAAGCGAGCCTCCGTAAGAAGACAGCAACATGGCTATGGGGGGTGAATTCGAGAGCTGTCGGAATGGGGAAATAAAGGGCAGAGGTGGAAAGTCGCAGTAAAGGCGGATACGACAGGCTCTCGAGTCTGAGTTGCGCTCTAGCAGACCGGCGAAGTTGGAAACAAATTACAAGGTGAAGGAGGATCGCGAACCTTCATGAAAAATCGAGGGGGATCTGGCAACGCCAGACGGAAAAACCACCGGATACTCCTCAACCGTCTGAGTCGTCTGAGTCAGGTGAAACGCACGTCGTTTCACGCGCCCCACGAGAATCGTGGCGTTGTGGCCGGAGGTTCGATCGGGTGCCGGGCCCGGGTGTCTCCTGTTTGGCGAAACTGGTGGAGGTGGATGCTAAAGATGCTCTGCGTCCAATCGATGCCTTTCAGGTGGGCAAACGTGCAGAAGTCAGAACCCAAACGTCCGAATCTAAGAAAAGGCCTCCTGTGTGACGACAGAGGGCCAATGTGCCACCTTCCAAAGGCTTTAAGGCTTTGTCAATTTGAACCATTGAAATGGATTGCAGGACAACTATATATTATAATTACTATAGGTTTGAAAAGCCATATCGATTCAAACAGGGGCATGATGTCTCCAAGTTATCCTGCTAAACAATTTCATCCATACAACACCCACTGAATCTTCAGAGCTGTCCAAGGGCAATGCTGGATTCTCCTGGCTCTGAGATCTTATTCGTGTGGTCATCGTGGAGCATGTGGAAAGCTCCTGCAACACGGTGATCTGTCTGTCGCCCACATCATGTAGGTGCCCCGAATTGGAAACTCAAACCCAACTGTTCAGCTATGTTCAGCTGGATGGAAGACAGTTCAGCCTGAAACCTATAATATAATCGAAAAAGAATAACAATATATATTAATATATAGATATATTGACTAATATTGACTGTTAATGATATACTATGATATATATTACATACTACACAACACGTGTTAAAGACCAACAAAACCCAGGATCTGCTCGAACGCACCAACTCGGGCATATGTAGACTGGTGATTAACAATAAAATCCCCTGTGTGGATTGTAAAACTGTTCATATAGGGATTTTGTTAATCAACCGTCTGCATCAAAAAAATGTCGCATCTTCTGGCACTACTATCTACCTTTCTTAGTGTGCTCCGGACCTGTTTTGTTCACAATAAAGGCAGTTGGTCAGATGAGTCAGATGCGAAAAGGTCAAGCTAAGTCAGATCCGACCCACCCAGTCAGATCCGGTCTTCGACCAGCACCTCGGAGATCCTTCGATGTGGATGTGTTGCGCAAGCCACACTCCTCAGAAACCTGGAGAGAAAGGGGATGATCTGGTTGCGCCTGACTTACTACGAAAATGTTCAAAGCTGCCAGTGTTCCATGATGTTACCAAACATAGAAGGCATTAGAGAATTCATGAAAGGCATGAAGCCTGGCCATGTTCAATGCTGCGGGGAAGAACTGGACTTCCAATGGATGACGAACATAGAGGAACATCCAAAGACATAAAGGTGAGCAACTCTTTTCTCGTTCACCCTGGGACATTTGGGCACCCGAAAACACGTGGTCAGTCAAATTGATGTTCACAAAACTTACATAGTCTTATATAATACGTAGATTTCTGAGGTTCACACTGTGGTTGGATGTGACTAGAGGCCTCAGGTTGGACAAGCCAGTGATGTCCAAATTCGCGAATGATTCCAGCACCTAAGGCAGCAACATAAAGCACACCTCCTTCTTCAAGCAGCTGACAAAGTCTTGCTTGTGTCGCCTGGAGGCGTTACTCATCGCTACTCGGCTGCCATAGACCGCCGTGTCATCGGCCGATGACGGCCGTGTCGCCCGTGACGCGCCTCCGAGATGCCGTCAATGCAGGCGCCGAAGGCTGGGGTATTGATACAAGACTTGGCCAACTCGACCAAACCTGGATGTCATCGAACGTGAGGATCGATCTGTGGCAGGTCCAGATCTGGGCCTTGAAAAAGCTTCATAGTATATAATATTAATTCCCTATGGTGTATGCTTTGAAAGGCACACCATCGGTTGGTTTGATGGCAACTCTCGACACCCGAGACAAAAATTTGAGAGGCAAAAAGGCCTCTGCTTCCAATCCGACCTTCGAAAGGCCTCGGCTCTAAAATTCTCTAAACTATCTGTTCATCTCTTTTCCTACATGCCCAGGCTCCGTGTTAGGCCTCCTTTGGGCAAGTCCGGTCCTCGCTCTCGGGCCGTCGAAGCGATCGCCCGGAGCCGACGGCGCGCTCGCTTCGGTGGCTCCGGCCTTCCTCTTCGGGGCTGGTTCGCTGAGCAAGCCTGGGTGAAAGGGTGTACCACATCCAACCTTCTTGGGCGTGCAATGGGGAGACCTCCCAACTCACGGCGCGTCTTGGCCTGTTTTGGATTTCCCAGAGGTCTTTTGGTCTCCCTTTTCCAATACACACCCACAAAGAACAAGTTTCCTCTAAAAACAGGCGATCTTTCATTTCCATGTTAGTGAGTCGGAGTCGGACTGTACATATCCCATCCAACCTTCAGGGAGGACAGGCAGATCTGAAACCAATTCAATCTGATGTGGACCAGCAAGGCAAACCGGTCCTTCGGCTAGAAAATGATCGAAACATGGAGAAGCAACGAGGCAAACTGGAGAATGAGGGCCAAACATAGCACCGTGAGGGCCTCAGTGCCGCAAACATGCGCTGAAATACCTTGAAATGCCCTAAAACGATCCAAGATTCTCTTTATTCGTCTTGGCCCATGAAGCAAAGAGACATCCAGTTCGCTTCTCTGCCCCGAACAGTTCGCACAGACCGCATCCTTCGTGCCGAAGTCGAACTGGCACCCTCAACCCATCCACCACGAGCATGTTTGACCGGAGACGCGCATCTTCGGTCTACCTCCTGCGGAACCTCCGGCGGAACATCGAGGAAGATCCGTCCGGCGACGTCCGAAGCAATGAGTGTTTCTTCCTGGGCAGCCAAGCTTTCCGCCGTATTCACGGAGGCGGAGTCGAACTGGCCGAGGCGTTCGAGATCGGTAAAGACGTGAAGGTAGGTTGGTTGGTTGAAAGAGAGGGTGGTTCGGCGGGTCACCCACGAACGGACTGCATTCACCGATGTCAGCGTCCTTTCTGGTTTGATGATGTGAAGAATGAGCAAGTGACCCACACTTGGGCGATCCATGTTCGTGAAGCGCAAGGAGATCCACATGTTGGTCGTTGTCTTCAACCTACATCCATTCACCAGGGGACTGATTCTTGTGTTCCATCGATGTCCATGTTCTCAGGACAGTGTGATGGACAGTGCCTGGTTCAGTGCACCACATCAACCCGTCAAAAACTGGCCAAGGGTGACACTGGGACTTGGGGCACCAGTGCTGGCAGAAGACTGTGATCCTGGCAGCTGCATGTGGATTCGGCGGATGCAGGTGGCAGCTGTGTCACTAGCTGTATCATACGGCTCACGCACTGAAGCGACGATGTTCAAGTGTTGTTCAAATGATCAAAAAAAGGGTATATGTATGGATGATTCAGAGGGGAGTGACTAGCCAGTCAACATCAAATATCCTTAAACCATAGCCTTGATATGCCTTGATATGCCTCGATCCTCTCATAAAACAACTGGCTGGGGGCATGGGCTGAGATGATAACAGTTGAAGGTGTTTCAGGCCTTGCAAGTCGATCAATTGCAGCTTGCACTCCTTGGCACCAACCACCGGCATCCAAAAGGCATCCGAAGGCCATGACATCAACCAAAAAAGTCATCAACCAAGGGTTCAAAGCGTAAGAAGAACCCGTGTCAACAAGATCGAGAAAAATCAGGGAAGGTGACAGTCTGTTGCCCAGTTGGCCATGGCATCCTTTTCTGCATAGGCACCCAATTCCAATTCCAATCAGCACCAAAACCCGCTCGTGACGTCAGCCCCGTGCTCCGAAACTCGACTTCGTCACAACATGTATGAAACTTGAGGCCAGAGGGGGTGAACGAAAGCTAGCCGGTGGAGAGCAACGTGTGCTTAATGAAATTCCATTTAACTCAATGAGTTCATTTAACTCAATAACTTACGCAGTCTTAGGCAGTATGCATACCAAGCATATACAGAACCTTTGATTGTCCATTTGCTTGCACAATCTGCCCTGGGTCCTCTCCAGAAAGATCTGCATATATCAGTAAAATACGAGTTACCTTCTTTGTTGATTGTGTCACCTAAGTTCGTTAGCACATTCACAACTCTGGTCTGATCTGACAGAGTTGGGACTGCCCTTCCCTGTCAAGCCCCTGAAATCAGCACAGGCATGTTCGTCCCCGAGGCTGACACTTGCGCACAATGCTTCAAAATCTCGCTGTCGCCAAGAATTAAAACCGCCTTTGTCGAGGACACGAACTGACCGACTTGTGCCACTGTTGATGAGACATATACATATGGCAACGTTTATATACCCTGTAGGATAAACATATATAGATATAGTATCCATCAATCACTGGATGTTCCAACTGTGCAGAACGTCTGCCTTTTCATTTAAACTATAAAATCATATAAAATCAGCAAACTGCATATAGTCCATAATAGTTTGGAGATCCAGTGATCCAGGTATGTGATTTGATGACACGCCACGCATTTTTGTTCATGAGCAAACTCCGCGTCTTCAACAAGCGAAACTCCGGCCAGGCACCTTGCCCAACTCCTGCATGACTCGCAGCATGTCCTTCAAGGCCGCTATGTCATAGAGCTCCTGTGCAAACTCTTCACATCACGCACTCATGAGTCCAGCAGGTCTCGCTATGGGGTGTCAGCATAGCTAGCAAACACGCACCACCTAAAACCAGAGACGGCAGGTTTGTGCCATCATGGCTGTTCGGATGATTCGTCGCTCTAACTGCAAAGTGTTTCTCAATGTTTCAAAGCTCACTGCCTCACTGCCATGTGGCTCACCGCGCCTCTGAGAGGAAAACCAGAACTGTTTTAACCTCCAGGCGCGAAGAGCAGAACAGCCGGAGCCGGCTCCGGCATCCTACAGTATGCCCGTGTGTTAATCCATGTTCGATCAACATCAAAAGAACACCGGTGGTTTTACTCGTGACTCTCCGAAATCCCTTGCTCATCACAAGGTACAAGCATCTTTACTTGTGTGTTTCGCAGTTTCATTTGTTGACTTTCGAAACGGCGCGCACCGCGGGTCACACAGTTCTGGGTTCGGTTCATCCGGTCCAAGCGCGCCGTGCGGTTGAGACTGGAGCGGGTGTCTTCGAGTGGAGAGTGATGGACCGGTGCAGTGACGGGTGCTGTAGGAGTCACCACTTGAATGGATGGATGTCAAGGTGCTGTAGTTAGGGGATGTCGTCAAGACGGAGAGTGGATGATCATAGGGTGACCGGAACGGGGGCACTCGATTTCCTGACTAACTCTTCAACTGTCTGCTCTGCCTGAACAGAAAGAACGTATTCTGATAAAAGTTCTTTCCCCTTAGCCCTTCTCTTTTGGCATGGTGGGCGATCGCAGCTACTATTGCGCTACTCTGTGTTTGGAAGATCTCAAAAGGCAAATAGAGAACAGGATGGTCAAAGGAAGGGGGATAATTATGTTGTTTGATGTTCTGCAACATGACTGGAGTCTGCAACTGAATTCTTCACCCAGCGGCAGAAGCCAAGTCATTCATTGCTGCGAAGGACCGACAAACACAACTGGCTCTGGCACCTGATGCGTCGTCTCCCGGAGCCAAACACATACCGAAGGCATCCGGACGAGTCTGGTCCGCAGTCTGGTTGGGGATCCATGATATGTTTGTTTGTTTTGTGTGTGTGTGTTATATAATAGTGGTAAACACTCCCTTAAATGCAAAGAAGCATCGTCTTGGGGATATTTAGGATCGTTGTTGGGGATGTCACGTCCGTGAAAGAACCTAAACTCCCTCGCTCAAACGAAAATCCACCTGCTCGGATCGTCTACGGTTGGAGGAAGCTCCATTTTTGTCTGCCCCATGGCCTGCTGGGTCATGATCATCATCTACTGTATCTACTGTATTATCATCACCTAGTGGATCACTAAATGTTTCATCTACTGTATCATTATAGCTGGAGCTGAGTTCTAGACATAAACTGGCATAGCTGCGCTGGCACGTGGAGGTCTTTAGGCCAGGCCTTGTCTTTTGTTCCCAGCACCAGTCACAGTCACATGTTGTTTAACATGACCATTCCTCAAGCAAAATGGCACAGTCACAGTCACAGTTTCCTCTCCATGCACCATGACTTGGGCTATCAGGCCCACCAAGTGATTGCTCTGATTCTGCCAAGTAGAGCATGCTAAGCCAGGGGCGGCAGAGACATGTCCAAGACGAAATCGTCTTCCTGTCAAGACATTTGGATGCAACAGGTCGAAATCCAAGTGAAATCAATGGAGCAGAACATCAGAACTGCAGAAGAACTGCCATGGTCAGAATAGTACAATAGAATACTTTTATCAGAATCTTACTTGTTCTTCGGAACACGGGGATTTTGAGGGCTCGTGAACCTATGTCCAGTCCAATCTAAACAGGGTGCCCCCCCAAACCCTGACCACAAGGGTATCAAGCCCTCTGGAAGAAGATGCCATCTACACTATAAAGGGTTCATTGTCCTGCGGAGGGTCATCATAATAAACCGCTCACTTTTCCAGCCCTGAAAATGTAACAGAAGTGTTTTGAGCTGGTCTTCTTTGTTTGTGATATCAAGTAACTGCTTGCGAAAGGCTCGGTGCCTCCGAACTCACCGGGAAAAGAGACCGACCACTTGGGCCTTTGAGCTCAAACTTCGAAGGCTGTGTCGAAGGCGTCGAGAAGGCTCGGGCAGCTCCTGGAATCCGCAGCTCGGGCTGCAGCGGCGGAGACGCGGAGACGCGGAGGAGTCAGGCGCATGGTTTCCCGCGAGGGGAGTTTGAGTCTGGACCAAAGACTCATCCCCACCAAGATCTTCCAAACATCCCCATGGCCAAACACCGAGTCGGGTCGTCACTTTGGAGTCGAGTCGGGCGAATGGTGCTCCAAATGACGAGGTTCCCAGCGCCTGCCTAAGGCCGCAATGGTCGGCCCCACATGCCCCCCCGACTAAGAGAGTTTGGGGATGCAGGGGGGCAGGCAGGCAAGTTTGGGCACTTCTGTTAGCAAAGAAATAGCTTTCTCTATGTTCTTCGGGATGACATGAGACCTGTAGAATCATGCATAACTATACCCTGGGAGTCAAAGACTATAAAAAGAATGGTCTTTAAGGGAACTGAAAGGAAACTTCCTTTACTCCAGCCGGTCAAAATATAGTCTTTGGACTTCTAGGGTATAGAAAAGGTATTCGAAGGAAAATGGGTTGAAGGTACTACCGTGATCTAGCCTGTAAAATCCCGTATAGAGATTTGAGATGACTTGAGTAGAACTCTAGACTCCTGCTCACCGAATCGCCCGCTCTCCTGTGGAGCTCGAAGGACGATGCCCAGTAGGGATCCTTGAAGAACCCAGCTGCCCTGGCCGCGTGCCACGTGGCCACGGGGGAGAACCCCGGCGGCATCCCTTCGACGGAGGAACATAGGAACCGTGCTGAGAGGCCATGCGACCGCAAGGATTTCGAGGCCTGAACCCGAAAGGAGTCATGGAAGGCTAATACATGACCAGTAGCAGTGGATGACTTTTCTCAAAATTGTACCGACTGTTACTGGATGTTACTGGTATAATCTGGTATTATATTAATGTATTATAATGTAGACTCTTGATAAATAACCCCAGCCATTTGAATTGAACATCCTCTTCTGCCTGGAGGGTTTATGGTCCTCAAGAGTGTGCATTGGAACACCGTGATGACGCAGTGATGCTCATCTTCTTCTTTCTTCACATCGCTGCGGATCGACTTGGAGGCACCGGCCTTCGGGATGATGTTGTTAGAGGCTTTGGGGTCCTGAGCCGATCGACCGAAACGCGGTGAGTGCATCCTCCCACAACACCACCAGATCGACCTGATTCGACCTGCAGCCAAGGCACTGAAGCAGTGGATTGGGTGGTGCAGTGTCGCACCTGAAAAAAATCGCTGTCCACATGTTCAGTCTTTGCGTCAAAAAGCCTGCAGCCTCGTTCTACCTCATGCATCTCCCAACACTTCGACAGGTTTGGTCTTTCGCTACCGTTGCGGGCAGAAGTCAAGCCATGCTCAAACCGACCCCGGAGACCGACCTTCGATTCAGAGTGATATCTGCTTAATTCCTTTTCGATCCACCTTTCACCTCTTTCACCTCGTACCTAGATGATCGGATGCATGCTTTAGGCTCCAAAACCACTCCTCCAACGAAGGCGCTTTCCCTCCAGCCGACAACTCCATCCGAGCCCCCGTGCATCATACGGAGCCATGCTACTGGGCGACGCATCGATCAGCGTGGCCTCCCAGCGCCGTCGCACCCTCCGCACCGGCGGAACCCGCGCGCGTCGTCGCGTCGTCGCGTTGCGCGAGAGAAACGCCGCGCACGCGCGCCTCGTGTCCGGCGGCCAGGACTCGAAGGTCACAGGGCGCCGAGAGGCTCTGCTGCAAGTAGATGATGTCTCCGAGGACCTGAGGTTTATGGCGGAGTTCGGTCAAGCTTGAGAGGCGACTTGAGGTGGTGTTCAATGGTTTTCATGTCGTTTGGTTTCCAAACTTACTACTTAAGACATCTTAAGCTGATAGATTGCTGATGCTGATTCTTGAAGCCCGTTGGGGGCCAGTCACTCAGAGCCTTGCAAGATCAGATACCGCAACACTCGTAAAGCTGCCTTCCCTCAAGACCTCAGGTCGGGTGCACCGAATGAGGCGTTTTATATCTCCTCATGTGATATAGACTGTCGCAAACAACACATTGTTTTTTTGTTTCCAGCCGTACCCCGCACTGACATCAGTCATATGCAGCGCGTTGGCCTAGCTAAAAGAAGCCGTGGCATATCTCCCGCAAAGTAACATAGCTAGGCGGATCGGATCTGCCAACCCGCCAGAGAAGATGGATGTGAGATCATCTGGCGACAATATGTTGCATGATATTTACTCTATAGTCATAGTATGTCATAGTTGACTATTATGTGATGTTCTTTTCGGTGTTTGTTTGAACATGTTTAAACCCATAACTGGTGAATGAGTCCCAAATTCCCAGCCTCATAGGTAGATACAAACACGTTCTGTGCATCATTCCTGTGAGACGGGCAACTCACGTCGAGCTGACGAAGCCACTTTTGGAGTACAACGAAAGCATGGAAAGCATCAGTCGTGAGTCGCTGACCAGCAGCTCAAATTGTGTGGGAAATCAGCCTCCTGAGCCGCAGCACTGTCTCAGAAACTCTGAAAGAGATTCAGGGGGCAAACATGGCAAACACTGGCAACATTTGGCAACCTATGTTCAATTGGGATGTGGGTCAAATTCCTGCATATACCCTCAGTATTTTCCAGTGAACCCCATCTTTTCAGGCTTTTCCGATCTCTACTAGTAGCAGCTTCGCACCGCTTCGCCCTCCAAAAAGAAAAACGAACACCTGGCTTTTCGCATCCATTCCATGAGCTACTTCAGATTCATCAGGCTTCCGGCCCGGCTTCCAGCTCAAAACAGCCCAAAACATGAGCAAAGTTGACCAAAGCTGCCCAGCTTCGACTCCAAAACAGGAACCGAAAAGGGAGCGCAAGGACGGCCTCACGTCACATCGATGTCACAAACGACGAAAGGTTGCAGGATGTTGCAGGTCATCCTAAGAGTGAGTGGGTTAGTATACGAATTTGCATACAGGTTCCATTGTATTATACCAAACAACTGGGAATTCATTTAATCTGTAATTCTATAAGTTTATGGTACTATATAATCAATCATTCTAGTTCGAGGATGTCTCAGGTACCATGGCAACTCACCCTTGATCTTTCCTCCCAACCGAACGCCGGCCTCAGCCGGACCCGCTGGTGGACACCTGGAGCGCGGACCCGGTCGGTCGTGTCGATAGGCGTCGATAATAGGCCGCGGTCGCGGTCTCGTCGGCCGCGCCGTCGAACCCTTCCGTGGCCTGAAAGACGTTTCGGGAGAGTTTGGAGGAGGCCATTGGCCTCCAAGGACGGCACATCACGACCGCAACGCACGGAGAGGCCGCACGGAGAGTGTAAAGAGTGTAAAGTCGCGCTGAGTGAACAAGTGCCACGGTGTGACACAAGGTGGCATTGAAAGGTAGACCGGCTCATTGGGCCTGGCTGCTGGCCTCCTAAAAACCAGTGGTCGCTTCTTCAGCTGCTAGCTGCGTTCGCTGGAGCAAACAGAAACCTGTTTCAGCTTCTTCCAGACGAGCCGACCAACGCCTTCTCGTTTCAGGGCATCGAACCGGGGCGTCGATTCCCGGCGCGAGGTCGGCGCCTTCTCCGAGGTTCGCCGTTGAAAATCCACTCCGAGGCGCTGGAAGAGGAGGTGGGGCTCTGCTGTATGATCCTGAGAAGTGCCTTACTAGTAGTAACAAGAAGCTAGTAGAAACAAGTGCCTTAC